TGGCAAATATCTATAAAAAAGGGTTGGCTGAAAACATGATATACAGAAGCAGTGCGTCGTTCACAACAGAACACGTCGAATTTGCCAGACAACTTGATGACGGCTTGAGCATGCACTAGACTCACCTGAAACGTTAGCTTCATCTGAGAAGTTTTGTGCCATTATTCCTACTTCTTACATTTTGTCAACCATATGCTTCCCCTAACCTCATGAACAAAATGCAGATGTTCTAAACGACTAAGAACCACGCGGGGACTTGCTCTGCGTATCACGAGTGGTAGCATCAGCGCTAGCCACAATTCTTTTTTGGTTTCGTTCAATGACGATAGCTGTAAAACCTGTCGCGCTCAACTGTTTGGTGTAAAATACACTGTGTGATCTAGATGCTATGAACAGCTACTACAGAATCGACTATTAATAAGCAGCCGGGACGTCTAATGGTATGTTTTGTGCAGGAGCGACAGCGCTAAAAACAGATGAGGACGAGGGAACGCACGACAGAGATGCTTACTGTAAACTGGAATTTATTGAAAACCACAAACACACACAGCATGCGCGCTTTTACCTTCGAATAAATTTCAAGTTGAGAGTCAGCACCTTCCTTGCTTGCTTGTTCCTTTCTTTTGTGGCTCTCACTCACTAAGGGGGATTGGCCCAGAGGCCGGTGGTTATTGCAAGTCAATACTTTTAGGTTTTCCAGACTGTAGGAGTAGGATTACTTTTATTTGGCTGTGAAAATTTTTTGGCACAATGTAAAAAGGGGGGGGGGGAGAACTAATAGAATCTGTTGAATGTCTTAGGTGTAATCGTTATATGAAATTTTTCTGAAGGTTAAATCATTACAGTGTAACCGCTAAATAATAAATGGTAGATTAGCACCTGTGTCGTGTCTTGCCTCGTCTTTGCCTCTTTTTCAGCGTTGTTTTTTTCTGCGAAACGAAAATACCACCAACGAGCTCCTATTTCATTTAACGTTTTCGTGTAATATAATCTTGATCGAAGTTCAGGACCAGATCTGCAATTTGATCATTCTTTGATTTAGGTACACTTAGTAAGTTATGTATTCAGTTGGTTCGGTCAAATGCTATTATATCCTCATGGCGTTACAGAGACGACTCGCATATCAGTCATCCCTAGGAATCTTTCCACGCCATGATCACCGTCTCAAGGTCAAACGCATCACATGCTGTACCCTGCCGGCCTGCCTGCCTGCGCCCGCCCGCCCGCCCGCCCGCCCGCCCGCCCGCCCGTCCGTCCGTCTATCTATCTATCTATCTATCTATCTATCTATCTATCTATCTATCTATCTATCTATCTATCTATCTATCTATCTATCTATCTATCTATCTATTATCTATCTATCTATCTATCTATCTATCTATCTATCTATCTATCTATCTATCTATCTATCTATCTATCTATCTATCTATCTATCTATCTATCTATCTATCTATCTATCTATCTATCTATCTATCTATCTATCTATCTATCTATCTATCTATCTATCTATCTATCTATCTATCTATCTATCTATCTATCTATCTATCTATCTATCTATCTATCTATCTATCTATCTATCTATCTATCTATCTATCTATCTATCTATCTATCTATCTATCTATCTATAGTGCCATCATCACCATCATCATTTCTCAATCACCGCGCCGCGCCTCTCGCGCAGCTGATGCTAGCTCGAGCTGCGCGAGGATTAGAACGAGCTCACGCACCTGGCGCGTCGGACGTGGACAGCCACCGCGGCTCCGCTTCAGGCGTGCAATAAAGTGGCGAGATCAGCACGGCCCCGTCTGCCGCCTTCGACGCCGTCTCACGTCTCTCTTCTCCCGCCGCTACACTGGTGACCCGGAGAACACGCCCTTCGCCGAGCGGCCCGCGGCCATGTTCCCGCAACACTCACCGCCAGTGCCGCCGTTCCAATCCACCTACCCCAAGGTATGGTTCATGTAGCTCGATGCCGTTCTTGCGTTGAATGGCGTCACGGACCAGCCGCTGATGCACGCCATTCTACATGACGCCCTTCCGGTGGAGTTGCGTCATCTCTCTGCCACTTCAACGTCCAGCCAGCAGCCTTACGATGACCTCTGCTCGGCAGTGCTTGCCACCTTTGGCTTCACCTACCACCCGCTGCCGTTTACCCGCGACTTTCAGGTTTTCCCTGCGTCGCAGCCTGCTGGACCCTCCGGCCCAAATCTCTCATCTGACCGCAACCTGGCTTCCCCGACGGCGTCTCCCTCCACCTTGGGTCCGGCCGCTGGCGCAGTGATTCTCCCACCCGGTCACAGATCCGCGAGGTTCTTGAGGTCGTTCCTGCTGGCGACAACCTGTCCACCACGAAGTGCGTTTTTTCGAAGTCCTCGGCCGATGGTCCTTCTGGCACGCTTGCTACCTGCATGTTTTCCACGAGGGCGACGGCACGCGACACCGTGGCCCCACCAGACTCCATGACGACCACTTTGCCGCCCGCATCGAAGTCTGGCACAGGTGACCTTTCGCCCGTTATTGACTTCCCGACTTCGAGGCTTTCGCCTTCAACGGCGTCCGATAAACGAGACTTAACCTCTCGTCTGGCCACTGGCGACGCGTGTCCTGCGCCCGACTGCCCATCCGCCAAGGTCCTCGCAATTTGGGCTGAATGCGGCCCGTCAGCCACGGGGTTTGTGTTTTCATCGTCCTCGGCTGACGACGCTGCAGGCATGCTTACCACCGCCTCGTCTCGGCCGACCTCCATGGCTCACGGCACGGCAGACACGTCAGGTTTTACGACGGCAACCTCGCAGAACGCCCTGGTGGCTACCACGACGATGGGCATTGTCACGCCCGCTATTCACCTCCCGGTTGCGGAGCCTTCACCCTCCCCGATGTCCGAAGGCGACTGTCGACCAGCCTCAGTGTTCTGCACGTCCTGCCGGCAACGACCACCATCGTCCTCGCAGTTTCCCGCAGCTGAGGTTGAGGCCGCCAGCCATCCAGCACGGCCAGGCTTCCAAGACGCTGCGACTGTGACTGACGCGCTTGAGGACGACGTGCCCGGTCCGCTTCGGACGGTGCTCACCGGGCATGCAGCGCCTGCGGTGGGGCAGTCGGGGGGGGTGTTGGCTGGAGGCAGCCATCAATTGTGCAGACCTGCACGCTGGCCCTCGGGCGCGGACTGCCGGAGGTCATTGCACGAGCACAGGCGTCCCGTCCAGTGCTCCGGGCGAGCCCACGCTGGCTGGGTTCCACCACCGCCATTCCCCGGAGCCTTTGCCTCCGGACGGCAACGGCCAGACGTGTGTCCACAATGCCAGCTCGTGTGTCACAACCGCGACGGCGCTCATGCCTCATGCGTGTCTGCCACCCGTTGCCCTACGTCGGCGACGACGGCGTGCTAGGAGTTACACATTGCGGCAACTTTTGGGCCGCCCTGCTGCGCGGCCACGGGTTGCGGTCACGGCCCTGAAGACGGCGCAGGCGCCTACTCGGCCTGTCCGACGCGGTGTCCCACCACTGGTCGTGTGCCCGACTGCACACCGCGCACTTGGTGGTATTCTTGGGACACGTTCCTGCGGGCGTCGGCACGTCTATCTATACCGGCACGTCAGACGCCGCTCGACTTTCAGGTCTGTGTTGCGTCGACCCCAACGTCAACAGCCGCACTGCCGACCCTCTTCCGACGTTAGCAGCATGTCCTCGCGACACACGGTCCACTCTCGGCCTGTCCGACCAGGTCACCGTGAGACCCGCTTGTCGGCTACCACAGCGACCCGGCACTTCCTCCTTCGTCCCTTGCGCTTCTCCCAGTGTCGCCCGCCAGAAACCCGCTGCTTACCGATGGCCCATCAACGTTGACAACCTGGACTTTCCAAATGAACACTTTATGGATTGTCGTTCATGTATATAGCTTTTGTCACTATCTTTCTTTTTTTTTCATATGCCTTCTAATCGCGCGAAGCGCTAGGGGGGGGGAGCCCTGTAGTGCCATTATCACCATCATTTCTCAATCACCGCGCCGCGCCTCTCGCGCAGCTGATGCTAGCTCGAGCTGCGCGAGGATTAGAACGAGCTCACGCACCTGGCGCGTCGGACGTGGACAGCCACCGCGGCTCCGCTTCAGGCGTGCAATAAAGTGGCGAGATCAGCACGGCCCCGTCTGTGGCCTTCGACGCCGTCTCACGTCTCTCTTCTCCCGCCGCTATCTATCTATCTATCTATCTATCTATCTATCTATCTATCTATCTATCTATCTATCTATCTATCTATCTATCTATCTATCTATCTGTCCGTCTGTCCGTCTGTCCGTCTGTCCGTCTGTCCGTCTGTCCGTCTGTCCGTCTGTCCGTCTGTCCGTCTGTCCGTCTGTCCGTCTGTCTGTCTGTCTGTCTGTCTGTCTGTCTGTCTGTCTGTCTGTCTGTCTGTCTGTCTGTCTGTCTGTCTGTCTGTCCGTCCGTCCGTCCGTCCGTCCGTCCGTCCGTCCGTCCGTCCGTCCGTCCGTCCGTCCATCTATCTATCTATCTATCTATCTATCTATCTATCTATCTATCTATCTATATATCTATCTATCTATCTATCTATCTATCTATCTATCTATCTATCTATCTATCTATCTATCTATCTATCTATTGCAAAGGCCACAAACGCCTTTGCAAAGCAAGGCGTGGGGATATCCATACGCGATTATTTCGGAGACAGTAAGAGACAGCCGGGTGGCCCGGCACACGAATCAACACACTACACGGTCCCGCATGGACCTCTTTGCCATAAACATGAAGGGATATATCACAAAAAATCTTCCAAATCAACATACACAAAAAAAAAACGCGATTGGTTCACGTTTTCCTCAAAGGGATCAGTATCGGTGTTCGTTTTCTGTGCACACTGATATATATATCATGCTTAACACTTTACATGAAAAATGTTCACTTCTGCTGTGAATGACGTGTGCTCCGACATCTTAGGGTATTTAAGCGCGGAAGTTCCTCATTCCTCGTTTTCATCACCCTTACCTGTCAGGACACCTTTTGCTACAAGAGGAAGCGTCGTAATGGTACGCAGCCATCGGAAATCATCCCACGTTGCTGATGATGACAACAGGTTTCCTATGAAGCCTTCCTTGGAAGGATCGAACGTGAATGAGCTGCCAGGTGATGAGGCTTCCAGATTTGCAAACCTGGAGAAAGAAAGAAGCTCTTGTTTCACTTTTCGCAAGTTAGTTTGCATCATGTAGAAATTGTACAAGGTGTTAGTACTGGGTAGAATGGTTTGGCAGCCGTCCTTGCAGCAACAAAAAATGACTTAAACAGGTAGCATGGAATAGCCAGAAAGACATGTTTCGAGGAAGTTTGAAGCAGTTAGAAATACCATTCTGGTTAGATGCACCCCTGCTTCACACTAACCGTAAAGTGCTGCATTTGCCAGACTGTGAAATAGCGTTTGTTTAAAATATGAAATATTAAACAGACTGTGAAATTGTGTTACTTCGACACAGAAGTAGAGTTACGCAAGTTGAATGCGTAATGGCTCGTCTCGTCCCTAGGACGGGAGTGCCTGGTTTACTACGTTGCAATAGGAAACTATTATGTTGCAAAATACGTAATTGTAAAGCATTGAAATGACTCGAGAAACACAATGCGTTACTGGGACGTAATGGCGACCATAGTGTTGCATTTCAGTAGTGTACAACTATATATAACGATGTACACAAGTTCATGTTCTTTTCACTACATCCTTTAGTTCGCCTCGCAATGAGCACAGTCATGCCTTCGAAGACGCCTTGGTGTAATGAGCTCAAAATACACATGCAAAAAAGATCCTGAGTAGTCGCAACCCTTGTGAAACCCCCATCGTTTTTCAGTTTTTATTTTTTCCGTGGTGCTTAGTTCTACGCACCCAATTTTCTTAGCCAACCACAACATTGATGAAACCGAAAGTACAATAGTTTTGATGACACTGTAAACAAGACGCTTCAGCCGTGTTTTCGGGAATCGGCTTTGTTGGTTGTCGCACCTTGCGGCTAAATTGGAGCGCTGCGGCGCTGCGGCGCAATATGGCGCTGATAAACTAATTGGGTGCAACAAGTGTGGTTCTACACAGAAAAGCAAGCTTGCTGATCAATGTGACTAATGGCGCATCTGTCACACCTTTATGTATGTTTTTGTAGATCACTAGCTGCACCAATGCATCGAGCATTATTAACTATAATGAATGCATGAAGCATGAGAAACTCATGAGATTTACAGCAGTGACTCACTCAATTGTGCAAACTGGAGTTAAATTTTTTTCAGCCCTAACAGCCAACACAAAGCGTGATGTCTTACGTTAATTAATAACCGGGGTGTAGACAGAATTAAGCTACGCTGTGAACTGGCTACATAACTACACTACAATGGCCGTCTTACATCATATGAACTAGAGTTCATATGATGTAAACCGGAAAGCTTGGATATGATGTAAGCTGGAAAGAAGTAATTGCACCGAAATATAGAGTTATGTAGAACTAAGTTATCAAAAGAGAGATCATGAGGCAACTAGGACACCGAGCAAATATTGATAAAAATTTTTCATTGCTTGCGGATTTTTTTCGAATTCTGTCGTCCTTTTTTATGTCATTGTGGCCTTAGGAAAGACGCAATCTCAGGATCTGCAAGCATTAGAAGGATTCCCTTTAGAGGTTAATTTATTGAAAATATAGTTTTCTCATTGAATTTGTAGCATCGTTCTCTATTGCTGAAAATGCTGGCCAGTGATATCCTATAAGCCTTCTGAAGTTAGTTTCGTCTGGAACGCTGCACCTTTTTCATTCCCCTTAAGAACTGTGTAGAACAGGAGCTTTCACTTCATCTAAGTGAAGCATCTCATGTGAGTGGGTACATCGAATATTTTTCATACAAGTGCACATAGAGAAAGTCTTTCTAGGTTTCAATGCTACGAACATAAAGAAAGTGCTGCTAATATTGAAGCATCCTGGTTACTGGTTTCTGTCCCTGAAGTGCCCTATTTTATACTGTTAACCACGCTACTGAGCGTTATTTTCACAAGAATACTACATAAAGACACTCGGGGGGCTTAACAAAAACACATTGCACTCTTTCTTAGGGAGCATTTCGCTTCTTTCGGCGCTTTCACGTAAAGCCCCGGTCAGACTTGCCTTATTATGCTATCACAAGTGGTTCTGACTGGAGCTTTAGAGCTTCAAAGCCTACTTAATTAGTCTATTGCCGTCAATGGGCATCGAACAGAATCGTTTCTAAGAATTCTCTAATCAGAGTGCTCTTGATATGCTTCACACACGAACGCGAACTAAGATCATGTACACATGTGATGCGAAAACTTTAATTTTATGATCACACACATCAGCAAGCATATGTCGCACAGAGCATTCTCACCTGAGGCCATCAGGAAGAACAAACATATGCTTGCCAAGGCTGACAGCCTGTCCAGTTACGGGTGAGTCCACGGTGACCACAATGGCACCAAAGCCCTGATGCTCCGCCCTCCTGATCATGGACTCGGTCAAGGAACGGTTCTTGAAGATGTACATCTGCTGCCATAGAAGACACTCTGGTGCACTCGCTCTGATATCTTCCATCGTGGCTGTGCTCATGGCACTCACAATCATCAAGGTGCCGGCGTCCCGAGCCGCTGCAGAATATGAAGTCGCAATGGGCTGGCGTCTGGATCTTTCGCCCTACGATGCCTTCTAATCTTTCATTAAAAAGTGTTATTGATTAACGCTTCTTGTGCCTGCATTGCAGCGCAATGATGAATTAGTAAGATAGAGCACTAAATTTCTGCTTGACTGTTGTGTGCTATCTGCGCCTTTTTTTTTCTTTACAGGGCGCGATGAGCAGCGTTCACCAAATTGCCATTCCGCGCTTTCAGCTTTCCCGGACATAAAGGATCTTGTTCGTGATGTTGAAGCATCAGAAAAATTGTATTAAATCTCGCAAAGCTCGTCCTTAGCTTATCTTCGACGCTCCGACAATAGTTCATAAAAGAGACGTTGGGAGGACCACCACTTTAGCTCAGTTGATAGAGCATTGAACGCGTTATGCAAAGGTTGAAAGTGCGGTCGACCGCACATTCGACCTTCTGGCAGAGATCCCTGCCAGAAGGAAATTATCATTTTCTCCCGCTCTATTTCTTTGAATGTACGTTGGTGTTACTACTACAAACTTCTCATGTATTTTTTACGGCCCGTTTGTCTGATATTTTTTCTTATTATTTCGTCTAAAAACGAAAAAAACGAACCCTTAAATTTCCACTTCTTTCCATTCATATGAGGGTCTTGGTCTGGGAAACTATGCATTGAGGTATTATGCGAGCAATAATTATTCAGTTGCCAGTGCGTAGTAGGATCACGTGCACCGTGAGGCCAGCAAGCAGAGAAGGTGTTTCGCATTTGACGTCCTGGTTTCGCGGCGCTGACTACCACTGCCAAGATTTAATGCACCTCGTGATGTAGACGCGGTAATGACCGCCACTGTAACTCAGGGGGTACAGTATGAGAAACATTACATGAAAATCGCAGGTTCGATCGTTGCTAGCAGCAAGATTGCTCGTCATCCACTTTTACTTGCTTCAAATCAATACTTTAATTACTTCAAATACCATCCCATATACGTTTCACGGCTTGATTGGTGTTAGTTATTTATTATTGACATTCAAGAACAACATTTCCGCTAGATAAATACTGACTGCAGGAGCAACCCCATTTTAGGAGCTTCCTCCTATTGCTCGTACATTGTCCGGTGGTGGCGGCGGTACCCAGTGTGAACACCAGCGTTGCTAGTGTACTCTTCTCCGGTCACTTCTCAATGTCACTGCTCCAGAGATTCCAACAATGCTCACTAGATGGCGCACCACCTCCCAAGGCGCACCATCAGTTCAGTTCGGACTGTCACGGTGGATGGACGTGTTTTTTGAGCGCTCCCGATCGACTGCGCAGATAAGTTGTTTTGCATGTCTTGAGCCTGTCTTTATAATTATAAGGCAGCAGTTAAAATCCCTGTAGCACTTATTTTATTGTCGGGCTTTTTCGGGGGTCAGTCACCTGGTGTTTATTAGTTTGTGCGTGTGTGTGTTCGATTTTTTGTTTTTTGCCACCCCACGGGGGACGTGCAGGTGCATTGAAAACGCTACTTTTTGTAAGAGAGCTTAGACTTTCTCTTTCTCGTACGGCAGTGCTGGAGTTTTATAATTATCGAGTGAGACAAGTCATAGAGACAATTGGTGTCAGAAAGACATGATTAAAAAGACTGCAAAGTGTTCAGGATGTTGGGTGGCTTTGAAAGTGGACCCAAGTGTAGACGAGGAAGGAGAAGAGGCTGACGAAAAGTGTAGGCAATGTGAGGTCGAGGAAAAAAAGGAGAAAATGCTGGTTGCCAAGAGCGACCTGCTGATGAGAATCACCGAGCTCGAGATTGCGTTGGCGACAGAGCAAGAGAAAATGAGGGCAATGGGAGAAAGGCTGAAGTCCGCCGAGGAAGCACTAGCCAAGGTGAACAGAGGAGCGGCCTACGGAGAGAACAATAGGAAACCAGCAACCAGAACGGCGGAGAAGAAAGAGAAAGCAAGTTTGAAAAAAACTGGTTCAGCCGGTTCAATTGTCGCAAGGCCCAGCTTCAGCGAAGTAGTGGTGAAGCTGGGAGGGGACAAAGCAGCCGGTGTCACAGGTGCAAGTAACCCCCAGGTGCAGGATGCTCCAGCTGAAATGTCACAGCATGTGATAATCGCTGGGTACAAGAATTTAAATCGACGCACAGAAGCCATAAAAGAGAGAGTAAGAGGTGACAAGAGGGTTGCAGTAGGGGCGTTCCCAGGACGCAAGCTGGAAGCAGTCATGAGGCAAGTGAGCGCAAAACTCAAAACTACAGCTGATAGACGAAGCCTCGTGATAAATTCAGGCGGTTCAAACGATGTCCTAAATGAAGATACAACAGGACTATCAACCAAACTGGCGAAAGACGTCGATGACATGCGCGCCACTTCTCCTCAGGTACAAGTAGTGATTTGCACGATACCGGAGGTATTGGTGCGTGATGTCAACCTGAAAAGAGCAATTGTCAACGCAAACCAAGAGATATGGCGGATGAGTTGAGAGAAAGGCTTTGAGGTGGTTGAAATAAACAGAGAGATGCATAGGCGGGGTGGTTTTCAGCGAGACAGAATTCACTTCAATGGGCGGCTAGGTCATGAGGTGGGTTGGTAACTCGCAGGATGCGCAGTAGCTTTTTTGGGGGGCAAGCTGGTCCTTCGGGATGCAGGATAGCTAGTAACAAGGAAAACAACCAGGGAGACTCTTTGACAGGTGGTATGGACAGATACGATTCCAAAGTGGCACCAGTATCTAAGATAGGTAGAGTCCGGGGCAGAAATAGACGTAGCCACGAAAGCCGAGCTAATTCAGACATAGGTTATAGTAACATGCAAGGTGGTAGGAACAGGCTGAAGTGGGAAGAGATAGAAGAACAGCTAAAGGAGGAGAGGCCGATGGTATGCGGTTTTGTAGAAACACATCTCAGGGACATGGAACAACCTCCTAACAATGCACACTATGCGTGGGAATATTGTAATAGAACAGAAGGCAGCAGAAAGGGGGTGGTATTGGGGCGTTCATAAAAGTACAGACAGGCAAAGGGTCAAGCAGGAGTGCAAGGAACATTTATGGCTGAAAGGGAAAGTGACAGGGGAAATGACACTCCTTGGTTTCGTGTACTTGTGGACGGAAGCAAAGGCCAGAGGGGAAAACAAGGCAATGGTAGAGTGTATATCAAATGACATTCAGGAGTTAGGAGGAGAGTGCGAGAAAGTTAAACTTGGAGATATGAATGCGGACATAGAAGATATAGATGGGTATACCGACCCGACAGGCAAAATGATCATGGATATGTGTGAAAGGCTTGATTTGATCATTTGCAACAGTACCGAGAATTCTGAAGGGCAAATAACATGGGAGGTAGGAAGGCTGCAGTCGACAATAGATTGCGCACTGATGTCACATAGGATGTACGATAAGCTAAGGGGAATGCACGTAGATGAAGGTGGCTCCAGAAGTCTGGGTAATGATCACAAACGTATCAAGCTAAGTTTTGAAACAGCAGCGAAAGTGGGAAGGAGACAAGATGAGCAACTACAGGAAAATTTTTATTCAGAAAGGCTAATTGAAATAGCCATTAAACAAATTGACAAAGTAATCACAGAGAATAATAAAACAGTGTTGACCTACAATATTCTAGTTACACTGTCTGAGCTAGAGCTTGCTAAAGCACGGGTCATCCCGGAAAAGAAGAGGAAGTTAAGAGACCCATTCAAAACGAAGGAAACCTCAAGGGAACACAGACATGCTAAACAGCGGGGTGAACCGACAGATGATGCTGAAAGAAAATGGGAAACCTTTCTAAGCTGTAGAAAGGATGCACCCCTTCTGATCAATGAAAATATTAGAATAAAGGGAGCTCAGTGGTTGGCAGTAGTACATAGAAAAGATAGAAAGGCAGCTGCGAAATTTCGGAACCATCTGAACTCCCTAAGAAATGAGACCAGCCTAGAGCAGAGGTTTATAACTACAGCTCAAGGTGCTATGCCACAAGGGGACGAAGCTATTGAATATATAAGAACAAGGGTGACAGAAAATTTTGAACAAAGAAGTGCTTTATGCACTACAATAGACAAGGATGAATCAAGTGGTGCAATGGCTCGATTTTCACAACGAGGTGGGAAAGGGCTGAGATAAGGGTTCCTAGTAGTACATCAACAGGCCCAGATGGCATTCCAATTTTGCTGATAAAGACAATAGGTCCGAAGTCTAAGCAGGCTTTGAGAGAGGCAGTGAACAAAATAATAATCGATGAAGAAGTTCCTGATGGATGGAAACTTTGCAGGATGAGCATGATCTATAAAGGAAAGGGGGACAAAGCTGACATAAACAACTACCGTCCTATGACAGTGACATCAGTGGTCTACAGGCTGGCGATGCATATTATAAAGGAAAGACTGCAGGCATGGATAGAGGATGAGGGGTTGCTGAGAGAAGTGCAGAATGGATTTCGGAGACACAGGTGGTTGGAGGACAATCTGTTCTCCCTAACGCAGTGCATCGAAATAGCAGAAAAGGAACACAGGCCCCTGTGGCTAGCATTTTTGGATATCAAGGGAGCGTACGATAGTGTGGTTCAAGAGAACATGTGGAGAATACTGGACACACTAGGCGTGGAAGATGTCACTAATCTTTTAAAGGATATCTATAGAGGTAACAAGGTAACTATAAAGTGGGAAAAACAGGTATCCAAGCCTGCAGAGGTAAAACGGGGGCTTAGGCAGGGGTGTCCCCAGTCACCCTTATTCTTGATGATGTACCTACAAGGATTAGAGGCGAAATTAGAGATAAATAGACTGGGCTTCAACATCTCTTTCGTCTAACAAGGAAAACTCATTGAACAGGCACTACCAGCATTCATGTACGCAGATAATATAGTGCTAATGGCTGACAACAAGGAAGATTTGCATAGATTGGTGGACATCTGCGGTAATGAGCGAGATGGGTTAGATTTCAGATTCAGTAAGAAAAAATCAGCAATCATGTTTTTTAATGACAATGAAGGTAGTGAGCTTAGAATACAGGAGTTCTGCTGGATAACAGA